GTGCTCACACCACACCCACACACACCCACACACACCCACACCCACACCCACCCACACACACACACACACCCACACACACCCACACACCCACACCCAGAGGAGACTCCCCTCAGGCGGAGGCGCTGCCTTTCCAGCCCCGGCACAGCCCCGACCACGGGAGTTCCGCACCCCGCACCGGCTGCAAGGGCTGTGCCGGGGCTGTGCCAGGCCGGGGCTGTGCAGGCCGGGGCTGTGCAGGCCGGGGCCTCCCTCCTGCCGGAGCTCTCTGTTCCCGCCTGCCCCTCGCCCTGGGCCGTGGGGTTGGGAAGCGCTTCGCATGTTCGTGCACTCCGCCACGAACACTGAAGGCTCTCGCTGTAGGGATGGGGAGAAAGGCTTTAAAAGGCTGCTTGCATCATACAACTTGTCTCCCCATAGTGCCTGGCTACCAAAACAAAACCCAACAAAAATTCAAGTACTTTTAAAATAATTTTGACAGTCTTCCACTAGCACAGGTGTGAAATATTCAGTGATGACTCCAGAGGGATCTGCGCAGCCCTGCATGATACTTAGAGCAGCTGAACCTGCTGAATTTCTTCTTAATATTGTTTAAATGGCTCAGGAATCTACTTGGAGTAGATTTAAAAACTTCAGAGGCTGCATCTAGTTCCTGATTTATCTTGCTCCAGCATAGCCAGGGTCAGGTTTCTCACCAGAATCAGAGAATGACGGGCTCTGGGGATGTGCTACCTGCTGCTCCCACACCCGGGCACGGAGATGTGATCACTGTGCTGTCCTCCTCTCTGCATATGGAGCTAGTTTCAGTTTGGGCTAAAATATCTCTGTCCTATTGGCTTTGATTTCAATTAAACATGTTGCATTTTTATGCTTAGAACTGGCTTTGTATAAAAAAACATCCTTGGCATGTATGTGGATAAAAGTACCCCAGACAATGATCTTTCACAAAAGTTCCCAAACAAAATGGCAACTGTAGGAAGGTGCTTACAAAGTCATCTTTGTAATCCTTTTTAAAAAAAATGTTTGAAGGTCATGTGAGAAGCACAAACAGAAGAAATTTGAGAAACTCATCATTACACTTCACAATCCTCTCTCTCTTCACAAAATCTATAATTTAATTTTCAAGTTAATGACATTATATTCTGGAGCATACATCAATCCAGCTCAAACAAAACCCCCAGTTTGTTACACATAAGTTAGCATTTATAATAAAGCTGTGATGACCCTGCGTTTTTATATGATTTTTCCTTAAAGTAAGCACCATAATCACAGGAAGACCTTAGGCTGTGTCTGATCATATACTGAAAAATCAGTTTTTACATAGAGAGAAAACCCAGAGAAAGATAGATTAGTTATAAAAGTGATCTGTAAACAACCCTCTCTGCCTTTGTCCTCATGAAGTTTGTGGCACAGAAACAGCATTTTTTTTTCTACTGAGAGATACATTTTCAAAAGAAAATGCATTGTTCACTAACATACAACAACTATAAAACAACAAAAGGATACAGCTGTTCCAGGAAATACTTTACATCATAAGCACTCTGAGCTGCAGAAAAAACCAACCAACCAACCAACCAAAACCAAAAAACTGTGCCTATGCATAAGAAGATGATTCCATTAGCAGTATAGGGAGCCATTCTCACATGTAGTAAAGACTGAAGTGGGTAAAGAGGCTGTACTCAAAAACTAGCATGCAATAATGTTCCTTCATATCTATCCCTTTTGTCTAGAAGGTTGCTGGAAGAATGAGCAGATAGAAAAGTTCTGGACATTCAAATGTAGCTGACAGTATCTGTATGTACATGCTCGAAATGTATGTTGTTGGGGTTTTCTTTTTCATTATTTACAAAATATCAAACTGATTCCTTCTTAGGCATTTTTCATGCTGACAATACCCAGTTCAGACTTTCCTAAACGGTGTTGTTCTAGAAACTCCTCAGACCTTAAAGCATTAATGACATTGTTAACAGATGTGTGTTAAGCACAACATATCATTACGCAGTCAAGGAAAGTTTGTGAGTCATCTGTTTTGCAAGGCAATTTTCCAGTTGATCAGAGAAACAGCCTGACCACATTGCATAAGGTCTTTGATCGGTGTCATACATCTCTAGTCATGCCCAGTCACAAGGATTTGCCTGGTCACTAGATAGAGGGCTTGCCAGAAATTCTGACAATTAAACTTCAGAAAAGCTAAAATATTTCCCGTGGAAGAATATTTTATCCCAAAACAAAACACAACACATTACTTTTTTCTCCATCCTTTAAATAAAGCAACAACAGGGCCTCAGTGCTAACAGATTATACAGCACAGCACCAACCAGAAAAGATGACAATGTTTTAATTTCAACAAATTAGTTGGAAAAAAAAATATGGAATAACTGTCAACTTTCTGCTCTGAAAGGCAAAATTATTTTGCCCTAGAAACCTATTGATTCTTTGACCATTCTTTTTGCCACTGTTTGCAAATTCTTCCTTCCTACAGTGTATCATTATCAGTTCAAGATCCACATCATCAATGAAATCCAAGACAAGCCAATAGACCCAGCTTTCACCATGTCTCTGGCAGGGACCAAGAAGGATGCTAAAAACCTGCACATCCCACTGTGAGTACTATATCACATGTAATTGTGCATGTGACAAAAGATGTCAATTTGTAATATCATATCACATTGACAGCCATGCTATGAGGGAAATGGTTTAGCACAGCTAAGTGAAATTTAGTGAATTCCTCTCTTCACTCATACTCCCTGAAAGTAACAAGTTCTTACAATGATGATACAGTTTGTGCAGAAAAAAAATTGTTAGAAAACAAACAGCAAATTTGAAAAGCTTTCTGTCCACTTACTTTAGTCCATCTCACGGCCAAGACAGGGAGGTGAAATCAATTAAAACACAAATGAAAAAATCAGCTGTAATTAAGATAAAGAATTTTGGATATTTATTATCTGTATTAACAAAAGCAAAAGCAAGAGTGTGGGTCAGCATTTGCTCTAGTAGGCAGAAGTTGTAACATAGATGCTGTTATGGGACACCTTTTCTTTTGCTGTTAGAAACCACTACTGCTTTCAGCTGTTCAAGTTTCTGCCACTTCTGCTTCTTTCCTAGCATGTTGTCATATTTCATCACTTTTTTGCACCTGGAGAAAGAACGTTCTTGATATATTAATGTTTTGTCCTGGAGAAGGAAACAGTTCTTTCTCTGGTCTTCAGGGGAAAAAAAAATCCAATTTTTTTCACTTTAATTCATAATAATTAAGACAGCATTATTCTCATCTTGTTTTCTGTAGAGTCGAAGGTATTACTGGGAATAAAACCTACTCCTTTCTCATCACCCTGGACACTGATATCGGTGACCTTGTAATGATCAAGTTCAAATGGGAAGGAACTCCAGTTTGGGAAAATATCTGGGACACGTTTCAAACCATAATACCATGGACAAAAGGCACCCGTCGACCAGGACTTATAGTGAAGGCAATAAGAGTGAAAGCAGGGGAAACACAGCAAAAGTAAGTGTCATGAGAGACTCAGTAACAGCACAGGTGTTTGGCACTCAGGTTACCCCAGTTCAAATACAAGCATCCAAGCCCCAGCAGTCATACCAATGGATGTAAGCACCTCACTGCATATGAAATTTCAATGAAACAAGATACTATGTGAGATAAATAATGATTCCAATGTTAACATCATGAAATATTCAGATTCCTACTTACAAAAAATATGCTGAATCTTAATTATTTGACTTTCAATACCTACTTCCTAGAGAAACTCAGCATCACCATTCTTGAAAACACTCATCAGAAGGATCATGTGCTCTACTACACAGTCTTCTGATTATTTTGGGTGTTCTTCTTTCCTCTATTTATTGCTCTGAAACTGGATCACCAAGTCTGAGCAGCCTTGTTTTCTACATACAGCAATGCTAACAACACATTTGAAACTGTCTACTATGCAGAGAAATTTCAGCCAGAAGACAGAAAAAAAATCTCATAATGATTCTCACTGCTTTAATCCTTTGAGAAATTTCAACTGAGCAGTTTAATTAAGGCTAATGAGAAAAGCACACCTTACCTTGTAACTGAGGCTCAGTCTTAGAAGGCAATTTTTCCGTGGTACATTCCCTTTCTTAACCACCACAACTGGTGCAGAATTCCTGCAGAACAACTCTTATTGGCAGAGCTGCATCTCCTTAATATTGACACAAAAAACAAGTTAGACAATTTAAAGAGACATTTCATAAGACAGTCTGTGTGTGCTGGGGGGCAGAGGAAGGATCATATTCTCCTAGGTTGAATCCTCCTAAAAATGTATTTTGGAGGTGTTTTCCTAACCTGGCAATTGGCACGTGCTCCTGCCATTAAAATAAAAGGAGTTTCTCTAACATCTCCTGCTATTTTAAAAGTCATGACCCAAAATAAGTACTGACCTAGCTGGCAAAGCAAATTAAAGCAAAGCATACATTGCAAACTAGGGAGCTCTGTTCAAGTGCAGGTGCCTGTACCTTGAGATAAAAGGTATGAAGGTGAGAAGTCATTTTCCTAATCAGGAAGTTCTTGTCCAATGCAGCTGTGCCAGTAAGCTGGCACAAGCCAATTGCAGCTGATGTACTGCTTTCCTTATCTAGGAAATTGTTAAGTGAGGGGGGCACTTATAGTGACAAAAAATAATGCTGATATCTGCAGGTAGTTAATGCTCCTTAGGAGTTTTTTTGCTGGAAGAGGAAGCACTTTGTGCCAAGCTTTTATGGATGCTGATTATGTACTGGGTTTTGTTCTTTGCAATCTGGGCAGTGACATTCAGTTATCATTGAATTACTGCATTAATGTTTAGAGGGAGAATGAAAGATTATTAGATGGTTCTAAAAGAAGAAACAAAGGACACTCATGGAAAAGTATTTTCTTCAAAAAAAAAAAAAAAAAAAAGATATGTGGAATTCTGCCTTCCTCAGAAGACCAGACATCATGTATTGCAGAATTAGCAATTTTGGAAATTCAATAATTAAAAAAGGTAGTAAACATTAAATGTATTTTGACTTCTCTTGTGCTTTATCAAACATCTGAACAGTTGACAATATTTTATCTCTAGGTACCTCCAGATGTTTGTGATCTTTGTACACATGATGAAAGTTGCTTTGTTAGATTATCTAATGGCAAAGACTTGAGATGTAACAGCATAAACTTAAAAAGCAATTAACAAACAGACTATTATGAGCAATAAAATAACAGATTCCAACATTTAGTTTCAAATATTTCTGTAGCATATGCAGTTGCTGATGTTAGCATCCTACAATCAGTTATCATACATAGGTGATTTTCAGCAACCTCCCAGCTAAATATCAATATTCCAGCAGCCCCTATAGGGCAACCGTGGTGGTAACAGCAAGAGCTGGAACAATGCCAGTGCCCCACTGACACTAAAGCCCAAGTGACAGTGAGGGTGTGCTGTGGAGAACATGCCCAGTGACACCAGGGAGACAGAGGCACAATGCACTCTGCCTGCTCCTCTTCTCTGGACTGAGTCTGGCAGGCAGATACAACTCTTTGCTCACAAGCCTGTAAAAACAGAAATACACCTTTCTGTAAAAGACATCATAAGAACTGGCTAAAGAATGGGAGAGTCTAACTAACATGATGTTTTCTAACCAACGTTATGCTCTCATGCTGTCTTTTCTTTCCAGAAATACATTTTGCCCTCAAAGCATTGACAACTTTCACCTTCATCCATCCCAAGAGAAGACATTTGTGAGGTGTGACGATCTCTTCCCGAGACAAAACAGAAAATGAGCAAGAACACAAAAAGGCAACTCCTCACCAAAGTAGTCAAACTATGGTACATCTAGTAAATGTAAATTTTAGAAATTGACAGCATCAAATATCCTAGCAGTTTCAGAGATGGTGAAAAAATACATTAGGATATTTAATTTTTGTCATCTGACAGCTGAAATATGCACTTTGTTCATCTAGGAGCATACTCTGCAAATGATCAATAAACAGCTTCATCAAGGCAACTGTCAATTTTCAACTGTTTAAAATCTGAAAAAAATCAGCTCACCAGAAATAAAAAAAAATATTTGAAAAAATAATTTCAGTAAGCTTTTGAAAAACTTAATTTTGTTGGATGTAAGGGGAAAAAAGAAATTTTGTTTCCCAGTAAATACTATGAAACCTAATAGCTACAACTATCAGTTAAAACTTGGCTAAATTATTTGCTAATGAAGGGAGAGTTAAATAGTTCATAAAAGAAAAGACTACCAAATAGACATAAAATTATAAAATGTTGTAATAACCAAATTAAAACCCCAATAATAGTACAATCTAGAAATTCTATAATAAACTTTGTTCTCTTTGAAAATGCCTTGCTATTTAACTAACTAAAGAACTGATTTAAATTACTAGCAATTTAATTATTTTAATGATACTTAGTATACTACACAAAATTCTGGCACAACTAAGTTCAGTTAATTTTTGCATTTACATAATATTTATCCATTCAGGTAAGGTCTGAGATTTTTTGATTCTAAATTTCTGTATGCCAGATTTTGGTGTGACTTGAAACTGCTAGAATAAATGAAAATGGTTAAACCCTCAAACACCTTCAGAGCATAAAAACAAATTTTGTAAGGTCAAACATATACAATTCCCTTGTTTCCCATGTCAGAATATGAACAACAAAAAACCACATTGTCTCAGATTGTGTTTATTCTCTGGTTTGTGCATACTGAAACAAATCAATATATATGTATTCATTTGTCACTTTAATGCTAAGCACAAGATTAATTAAAAATTAAGGTTTCTTGAACTCTGAATTTTGAATGTAGTTTATGTTGAATGTTCTCTAAGTGGTAAAAAATGTGCAAGAAACTGCTAAGACCTGAAGCAAAGCATATTCTTAATACCAAGATATTGCAGGGAATTCTGAATCAAAATATCCAGATGTTATCAGTAATAAAGTGGGATTCATTTAGATAGCCTGACAAATGAACAAGTTGAGCAGATCCTGCAAGCAGTGAACAGTGATCAGATATTGAATGCAGAGATCTCTGCCAGCCATTCAGAATATTAACATCTTTTACAAGCTCTTTTCAATAACTACCATCCTTTTAAATGAATAGGAATATTCAATACAGAATCAGAAAGGCTCACAAACTACAACTACAGGAACTGAAGCATACTCAGATCTCAAACGAGAATTGTTGTCCATCCTGAGATGCACATTCCAGAAGCTGTTCCAATATTTAAAATGGCTCCTAGGAGTAACATCTTGATTAGATAAATATTTATCTATTTAAATACGAATGCCATGCAAAAGAATCCTTAGTTCCTCACTGAAAACAAAGATTTGTGACTTGAAAGATTTTGTTCAATGAAGCAACCTGGTTTTTTAAACACAAAAGTATTTTCACCTTCTGTGTCAAAAATTCCAATTTAAGTGATTAATTTCATGCTTCAAGTTGTTATCTCAAATATTTAAATTTTGCAACATAATTATTGTATGAGAGCTCTGTAATATGTTCTGTTTTTGTGTAAGAATCAATTGCTTAAGTACAATAGCTGAGTCAAATCAGGAGCATACACAGAAGGGAATTTCAGCCAAAAGTATCTGAGTTAGGTAAGCACCGAGGCCTTTTGTTTGGTTGATTTTTTACATTTGCAGTAGCTATAATCCACTGGAGAGACACAATTGCTAGAGAGCCAGTGACAGCATTTTTAGGGGCATGAAGTTAAAAAGGACCATGTCCTGCAGAATAACAAGCAAGGAACAAATGTCAATGTGGCCGTTTTAGTTTTCCAGAGCACAATGGAAAATGAGAGTAAACAAAGAGAAGTATGTGTGGCTAACTTAAATTAGGCAGGACTAGATTGTTTCTAGAATTGAATTGCTGCTTCTGCAAAATGCTAAAGACCTGCCACTTACTTCTGTTTCAGCGTTTTCTTTTTTTATAAAATAGTTTTCGATTTAGAGAATAATTAAATACTGTCATTGAAATTGCATTTACATCAGTTATCACCAACTTTCTAAGCTGTGAATTTTGTAAGCTTTCTGAACAAAATCCTACCTCTACTCAAACAAAGCCTTTTTTAGACGTTGAAGGATGACAGAGCAAGAGACAAAGGCTAAAAAGAATTGGGCTGTACTCCCCCAGTACAGAAACTACACTCTTAGAAACATTTCAGACATCAAAATTGGCATTTCTTGCAAATTACTATCACTTCCTTGGTAAGAAGGCTGATAAAGGGATCTAAACCTCAGGGGAAACAAGCATTACTTCAGGAAAAGCAAATGGAAGAAGGGTCAGATGTGTCTACATTGTGCTGAAACTCAAGAAATGGGGATACTAGTTTGATGGTTTCTACCGTTTTTTTATGAAAAAGCCTTCTCCAGTTCTCAACTAAGAGAGACTTGTATATCCTCAGATAAGACGATTTGAAAGGTTTTAAAGTCAAGTGGGAAAATTAAAAAACACAAATATTTGAACTCTTGCAGATATGAAGATATTTCTGATACCATTTTTCACAAATCATACACTGAAACAAGTTCTGTCCCTATTTTGACAGCCATTACACTAATTTCTGACATAAAAGTGGAATAAAGCCCAAGCTGTAATATATTCAGTCTCACCATGCCTGAACATAAAACTGAAGTCATACCTACAATTTCAAGTGCCTATAGTGGTGCCTTACTCTGTGCTCATTGGAATTATTCCTGTCTCACTCCAGAGAGCTGACTTCAGACCTTGGATTTCACCAGGTGCTTACTCCTGTCAGAGCATGCACAGCTCAGAGTGACAGAATGGCTGCTGTCCTTGTCATCACCTCTCTGTAATAATGAACCTCCAATAGTCAGAAATAAAAACCTCTTCCTTCCTTTTTGTGTTTTTCCTGAAAGAAATACTGGAACACTAATTAAAACCCAAATTACATAAATGGTGTGGTATAAAGTTTCATTGCTTAAGAGGACTCTGATGCCCTTGTCATGCTGACACCATTCTCACTATGCTATATATGCTTCTACATGAGGTGAAGGTATACATTTCATAACTAAAACTAAAAAATGCAAGATGAATAAATTAATAGGTACAAACAAGATTATGTCAAATATTAGCTAGAAAAATTATGTAGTGATTTGTTTCACTTAGACTTTAAAATATACATGAAACTTGTATTGGAGCTGCTTAGGCATTATTCCATCCCTCTGGTCTGTGTTCCTACACAGATTTAAATACATCCACCACCACCTCTATGAGGATTTGCAGAAGGGCTCTGCTCCAAGGGATTTTCTCTTAATGCCCTTTGCACAGACAGTGCTATTTAGCTGCAGGGAGAAGCACTTCTATAAAAAGTCACGGGGGTGGTGGGGGGAGCATTGTGAGACAGGAACTCTGAGTATGCTTTGATAACATCAAAGTCCACCCTGCTCACTTCAGGAAACAGATGTCCAAGCAGGCCACGCTCAACAAACAGCCTGAAGAATGGAAGGCTCACTGGCAGGACCTGGCTTTTAAAAGCAGTCTTACCACTTAAATCAACCATGCAACACACAAAAACCCAGAGACCCAGCTTAGCTGTTTTAAAACACCTTGCAAAAAGTGCATTTGCTCCTTCTGTAGGTCTCATCCACCAACTGTGTATTCAGAGTATTGCATATTAATTCCAATATTCCTCTCCAAATATATTTCCAAAGGTATCCATCAGTAACAATGATGCCAGGCTTGAACATCCCACCAGCAACTAGTTTTCATTTTGAAGGTAAGAGAAGTTTTATTCCTGTGATCATGTAAGTAATTTAAAATTAATTTCATGGCTTTCCCTAAACAGGTTACACAAACACATTTATTCTTACATACAACTGCAGGATGTTAAAATTGAGAGGGGCTCTTTGACAGAGATCGTACAACTATGACAGTAAAAGCCAAAAATCAAGCAAAGTGGAATCTGTGTACTCCTCTTTGCTTTCAGGGCTCAACAAGTAAATGGATCTTTAGAAGATGATTTCATCAAGTTTATTTATTAATGCATTTCAAGTTTCAAAAAACCTTACATATCTTTGCACAATACTTTATTTTTTGCATTTTTTAGTAAAAATTTCCAAAGTGAACAAAAAAGAGACTGTATAAAACACAGTGGACATGAAATCGACAGTAGTATTTCTGTTTCATTGTCTTGAACTTCCTTTCGGCTTTACCACATCTTGACTTGCAGTGGAGAGTTCAGTGCACATTTCTGTTTTCAAAAAACATTTAACTTAGACTCAAAATAAAATAGGGCAGAATTTGTCTGCCAAAATCCTACCACAGGATAACATTACAGGCAAAAAATTTACATGTTCCAAAGTCTACCACACTCAAGAAGTTACTAAGAACTCTTGCTGAATAAAAGTCACCATTTTAGAAATGCAAACCCACTTCCAATCTTTGCACAGTCTTAAAACAAATGTATTTAAAATGACTTAAAAGCAACTACGTACACTTCTAACTAGTTAAGATCATTTAGAATTATTTATATAGTCTATTGGACTAGGGGTTTCATGTACAAAATTTGTCTCTAAACCATGTACAAAAAGCTGTATTTTGAAAAAGTTACCACATACTGTACAAGTTTACAAGGAAGAGATCCTATTATATTCTGTAACATTTTTGGCCTTGCTGGCTTGCGTCACATTATGAGAATGATTGTGTAAACCTTATACTCTTAAAAACAAAACAAAACAAAAAAAAAACAACAAAGGAAGCCTGTCCAACCCTTAGTAAATTTTCACCTAAGCAAAGCCAGGAAAATTATAGCCATTTGCATCTCTAATTAGCTTGGTGCTTTTGGAAAACAAGCAATAAATACATCACAAGCTTAAACATTTTGTAATGCCCCCTTTCATCTCCTGCATAGCAGTAAGCACCTTAAGACATCTTTTATTTCATCTCCAAAAATGCCAATTATTTACATTCGTAATAAAAACTCTGGAATGGGACATTGTGCTGTTGAACTTCACTACTGGTATAAATGTGGGAAAACTGGTAGTCCTAACTACAGTTTTAACTCTGCCACAGTAGCCAGGCAAATCACTCTACTTTAG